AAAAGGTTTTTACATCACTCTTATATGTAAGCAACACCATTCAGATAAAGTCATGTATTTTGGAAGTCATTAGTTAAAACCTGCTCTGTGTCTCTTTGTTGTTGGGGTCTCTAGGGGCTCCCTGGGTTGAGGTTGGAGAGGGTAGAGTGTGCCCTGTTTGCTTATCCAGCAGCCTCCCTGGAACCTGGAAACAATCAGATGCAACAGGGAGTCTAGTCAAGCAGGATTTCATTTAATGTTTAATAGCAAAGCCCTCTTAAAGTAAAAAACCACGGGGTAGATAAAGTATTACCCAATAATGTAAAAGATATTCCCTGTAATGTAGAGTCCTATTCCCTCTTGGGCATGGTCTGTGTGTGTGATGACCTCAGCTGTTGTGTGTTTGGACAGCCAATTGTTTTTCTTAGTAAACACTTGAAGCCTGGCCTCTGTAGCTTCCTGCCAGCTCCATCTCTTCTTCCTTCCTTCCTTCCTTCCTTCCTTCCTTCCTTCCTTCCTTCCTTCCTTCCTTCCTTCCTTTCTGTCTGTCTGTCTTTCTTTCTTTCTTTCTTTCTCTCTTCTAATTTTTTTATTAGTTCAAATTAGGTACAAGCTTGCTTCAGATGTCAATCCCTTCTCCCTCTCTCTTCCCCCCAGCCCCCCACCATCTCCCCACCCCATCTACCCTCCACTCCCCAGGTAGGGTAGGGCCCTTGATGGTGGCTCCCCAAAGTCCACCAAATCATTATGGTCTATGTGTCCAGGCCATCACGTGGGATTGGCTCTCAAAGTCCCTTCTTACACCTAGGAAAAATACTAATCCACTACCAGGGGCCCAATAGAATTCGGAGGCCTCCTAATTGACATCCATGTTCAGGGGTCTGGATTAGTCCTGTCCTGGCCTCCCAGACAGCAGTCTGGGGTACATGTGCTCCCCCTTTTTCAGGCCAGCTGTTTCTGTGGGCTTCACTAGCCTGGTACCGACCCCTTTGATCTTCATCCCTTCCTCTCTGCATCTAGGTTCCAGAGTTCAGTTCAGTGTATATCCGGGGATGTTTGCCTCTGCTTCTGGATGAGGGCTCTAGGATGGCATAAAAGTAGTCATCAGTCTCATTATAGGGGAAGGGCGTTTAGGGTATCCTCTCCACCATTGCCTAGATTGTCAGTTGGTGTCATCCTTGTAGGTCTCTGGAAATCTCCTAGTGCCAGATTTCTCCTCGGACCTATAATGGCTCCCTCTGATATGGTACCTCTCATCCTGCTCACCTCTATTCTTCCCCCAACTCAATATTTCTGCTCCTCCATTTCCTCCTCTTCCCTCCACTTCTCCTCCTCTCATTCCGGCAGCTCCCTCTCCCCTACCCTCATGCTCCCAATTAGCTCAGGAGATCCTGCCCCTTCCTATTCTCTGGGGTCCATGCATTTTTCCGTTAGAGTCTTTCTTGTTTCCTAGTTTATTTGGTGAAGAAGATTGTAGGCTGGTAATCCTTTGCTCTACCTCTAAAATTCATATATGAGCGAGTACATACCATGTTTGTCTTTTTGTGACTGGGTTACCTCACTCAGTATGGTTTCTTTTAGTTCCATCCATTTGCCTGCGAATTTAAAGATCCCATTGTTTTTTTCTGCTGAGTAGTACTCCATTTTATAAATGTACCACATTTTCTTTATCTTTTCTTTGGCTGAGGGGCATCTAGGTTGCTAGAAGCCTCACTCTCTCTGAGGAGTGGGTGGGATGGGATGGGGGGATGGGGAGAGGAATGGGATGACAAGAGGGAGAGGGAACTGGGGTTGATATGTAAAATAAGATTGTTCTTAATTTAAATAAAAATTAATTTAAAATATTAGAAAAAAATCGATGGCTGTGGTGGCATACACCTTTAATCCCAGACTCACAGAGGCAGTCGGATCTCTGTGAGTTTGAGGCCAGTTTGTCTACAGAGAGAGTTCCAGGACTGCCAGGGCTACACAGAGAGACCCTGTAAATCAGTCTGACCTCAAAATCATAGAGGTCCGTCTGCCTCTGCCTCACTGAGTGCTGGGATTAAAGGCGTGCGTCACCACTGCCCGGATACATGGGACATTTTAACAAAGATCAACTATATACATATTGTCAAGCTTTCAAAACCTTATTCTCTCATACATCACATCCTGACTGCAGTTTCCCCTTCCTCCACTCCTCCCAGCCACCCTCACCATCACCCCTCCTCCCCAGACCCACTGCTCCTGCTCTGTTCCCCTTCAGAAAAGAGCAGACCTCCCAGCGATACCAATCAAATACAGCATAGCAAAGTACAATAGGACTAGGTACAAACTCTGTATCAAGGCTGGACAAGGCAACCTAGTAGGAGGAAAAGTGTTCTAAGTGCAAGCAAAAGAGTCAGAGTCAGCACCACTCCCACTGTTAGGAGTCCCATGAGAACACCAAGAAGCTACACAACCACATAGACAGAGGACCTAGATGAAACCCATACAGGTCCATGCTTGCTGCTTCAGTCTCTGTGAGCTCTTATGAGCTCTGCTTAGTTGATTGCATGGGCTGTGTTCTCCTGATGTCCTCAACATCCTACAATCCTTCCTCTCCTTCTTCCATGGGGTTCCCAAATGACTGAGAAACACTTGAATGTTCAATATCCTTAACTATCAGGGAAATGGAAATCAAAACTATTTTGTTCTTCCATCTTACTTCTGTTAGGGTAGCTAAGATCAAAAAACACAAGTGACAGTTCATGCTGAGAACACTTCTCCATTGTTGGTGGGAGTGAAACTTTGCAGTCACTATGGAAATCAACATGGCAGTTTGTAATGGGAATGTTTCTGGCCAGGCTAGGCCCTGCCACTGCTTCAGCCCCCAAATAATCACACAAATACTTATATTAATTATAGAGCTGTTGGCCTTTGGCTATGGTTTCTTATTGGCTAGCTCTGATTTAATTATTAACCCATAACTACTAATCCATGTATTTCCACGTGGTCTTGGCTTACCAGACCTGCAACTCCTTTGCCTGCTGCATGATGACAGCTGGCTCAGCATCTCCGCAGAAAAGAGAAGAGTAGAGCGATTTCCTGTTTGTCCCTGCTTATATTCTGATTCTGCCCAGCTATGTCACTTCCTGTCTGTCTGTACAGACCTCCAGACCTCTATGGTTAGTTAGTGGCAGTTTCTGCCCATCTATGTCACTTCCTGGGAATCACATGACGATTCCTCTCTGCCTATATTTTCCAGAATCCTCCTCATATCCTGGTCCCACCTATCTTGCTGCCCTATTGGCCAACAGTGTTTTATTCATCAACCAATACAATAAACATATTTACAGAATGACATCTCCCATCAGCAGTTCCTCAAAAAACTGGGAATCAATCTACTTCAAGACCCAGCTATACCTCCTGGCATATACCCAAAGGACACTCCATCCTGCCACAAGGACACTAGCTCATCTATGTTCATTGCCGCTTTAGTAATAATAGCCAGAAACTGGAAACAACTTCAACTGAAAAATGGATAAAGAAAATATGGTACGTTTATACAATGGAGTTTAACTCAGCTGTTAAAAAAAATGGCATAATGAAATTTTCAGGCAAATGGATGGAACTAGAAAAAAAATCATCCTGAGGTAACCCAGAAAGACAAACATGGTATGTACTCACTTATGGATATTAGCTGTAAAGAATACCCATGCTACAATCACAGATCTAGAGAGGTTAAGTTACAAGAAGGGCTCAAGTTGGGACACATGGATCTTCCTGGGAGTAGGAAATAGAATAGATTTTGTAGGTGGACTGGGGGCTGGTGGGAACGGGAACAGGAGGGATCAAGTCAGGTGTGGGTAGAGGGAGAGAATACATGGAAAGATGACTAGAATTAGGTGGCTTATGAAATATGGAATATGGAAACCTAGTGCAGTGGAAACTCCCTGGGATCTCTAAGTATGACCATAGCAAAGACTCCTGGTAATGGGGTATATGGATCCTGAACAGGCCATCTTCTGTAGCCAGGAAAGGCTTTCAGTGGTGGGCCTGTCTTGGAACTCACTCTGCAGACCAGGATGGCTTCGAACTCAAAGAGATCCACCTGCCTCTGCCTCCTGAGTTTGGACAATGTTCTTAAAGTCCTCCAATCTTGAGAAACTCCTGTCCTTTTCTCCCATTGGTTAGTACTTGCCCCATTCCTAATTCGCTGCCCTATTGGTTTAGGACACGGGAGGAGCCTTGTCTGATGAATAATTTTGGGCTTGAGATGGTCCCTTTTCTGACCCTGGGCTCAGTCACATAGTAGACTGCCTGTGCCTTTCCAACAGACCTGCCACCAGCTAGGGAGAGAGGGGCTCAGTGCCTTCTGCTTGTCTGTAACTCTGATGAACTCTGGGTGCACCTCATATGAAAATGGTAACAACTTACTGCTTACACAGCCAGCCTAGCTTTGTAAAGGAGGATAGTGACCAGGATAGGACAAGGGAGGATCTGAAGAATGGGAGGATCTGGAGAGGAACAGGAGGAAATGACACCTGCTCAGATACAGTTAAATGGGGCCTCTGCAAAGCCAGTCCCTGCCAGCTTGGTCAGCACACCTGCACTCTTCTTGCAGGCCCAGAGCTGCTTTGGCACAGACAGTGCTGGATGCTGCCCTCATTCTGGGGACCTCAGTCCTGCTGGAGTTGACTAAGGGTCTCTCTGTGCAAACCCTAACTCAGTGCATGGGTGTTGGTCCAAAAATGGGGAGGTAAAAGAGGCTTTGGGGAACCTCAAACCCATCCCATTTGGTGACAAAGACCATTTAGGCTCTCATAGATGCACAAAGTTTATTGGACACAGAGATACAGGGCCATTGGGGCTTTGCCTCCTCCTGTCCAGGGTCACCTGGTGTACTGTTCCCTCCAGGTGGATAAGCTTGGCTGAGAGGAGGTGGTGCAATATGGGAGTGCAGGACTGCGCTCTGCACAGTCTACTGCTCTTACTCATCATCATCATCATCATCATCATCATCATCATCTTTTTTTTTTTGGTTTTGTTTTTCTTCTTACGAACATTGTTTTCATCATCATCTTTGTCATTGCCTCCATCACCACCATCCTTGTCTTCATCTTTGCTTCTTTCCTTCGGTTTGGAAGTGTTAGGGATGGTAATTGGTTCTCTTTGAGGTGTTGTGGAGACTACATTCTCTGGGACATGTCTCCAATCAAAGCCAATCCCTGAAATGCAGCCTGATAACAGCATGCCATTGACAGTCACTAGATGCTTGTCTGGACCTCCACTGTCCTCAAATGAACGCCCTTGGCTTTTACCAAAGAGAACATGATTCCCCTTGTTGGTGATGAAGGTCAGGGAGTTCAGGCATAAGCAGGCGTCGCCACGCACCTTTATTATGTGCTCACCATCCTCCAGGAGCCACTCTTTATGACTGGCTGTAGCCATTCCATAGAGAATACTCCAGTGCTTGCCAAAAAGCAGCTGGATGCTGGAGAGAAATCAGGTCAGTGCAACCTCAGGAATGCCTGTTCTTTCCCAGAACTGTTCCCTGTCCTGGTTCTTGGTTCACAGTGCCCTACTCTGATACGGCAGCCTGGAGTCCTTCCTCCTTCTGCCTCTTCCAGACACATCCCTCCCCACAGGTCCTCATACAGTCTGGTCTGGACATGCAAATGTGCAAGGGAGGCCAGTACTACTATTGCAGCCCATTCTGAGCTTAAATCATTTGCAGGGTCTGAGAAACTCACAGTTTCCCCTCTGGAGCCTCCTCTCCTGTCTGCCCCAAATGAGGCAGCAGTCATACTGAGAACCGCTCAGCAAAGGTCAGTAGACCAGAGATCAATCTTACAGGCAGAGACCAGAGAGACAGGTGCTCTCCTTGTGTTATCAGGTGGGAACAGGAGGGCCACGGAAGAAAGATGACCCTCCAACTCTTCTAGACTATTGCTAATGCCAGTTTCTTCCTTCTCTTCCAAGGTAAGAATCATATCAAATCAGATTCCATGTAACACACAGGAAATACATCTAATTCAATTAGAATTTCAGATAATCATGAGTAATTTTCAGGGTAAGTATATTTTGTGTTGCATTATTTATTTACTTATTTTCAACAATGATTTATTATTTATTTTGTGCATATGTGTGTAGGTATGTATTTGTGCATGTCTATCCATGAAGGCCCACATATGCCAATGCCTTAGTGGAAGTGAGAGGAGAAACACTGGGATTTTGTTCTCTCCTCCCACTATCTGGGTTCCATGGATCAAACTAAAGCCAATTTGTCCAGCAAGCATCTATACTTGCCAGAGCCATCTTGCCAGCCCTTATTTCTTTAGTGGTACTAGAGACTGAACTAGACAAGCCACTGAGTTATATTACCAATCCTTCCTTTACCTTCACCCATTCTTTTTATCTTTTTTTATTTTATTTGAAACAGGATCCAACTGTGTAGCCAGGAGTTCCTTTCACTTCTTCATGGTGGAAACCCTCCTGCCTCAGCCTCCAGAGTTCTGACATTATTGACATGAGCCCCCATGCTGGGCTCCAATCCTCTCCACTTTCTCTTCTGAGACAGGGTTTTTCTGTGTTGTCCAAGTTGACCCTAAGGTGGCTCTGTAGCACAATCTGGCCTTACTTTTGGTATTCTCTAGCATCAGCATCCTAGGAAGCTGACATTACAGGACTGGACCACCAAGCCAAGCTCCAATATTGCATTTTAAAAGTATAGCCATTGTTCATCTGAAATTCTATTAACCTCAGAGACTGTGCTTGCATTTACCAAGCTTGGCAACAGTAGCACAAGGCCTTTGTGGCACTCATGAGGCAGATATTGGTGAGGACAGTCAAGATCTGGCCTGTCCTAGGATTGGCTGACCTTTCTGGAGCAGAGCACAGATCCAGAGTGGCAGAGTGATCTGCACATTTTATGTCCTGTGAAGACAGGGACATCTGTCAGACCACATAAGCAGTTTCTATCACTACCAAGGGGCACTAGGGCCACCTGAACTATATGGAATAGGGACCCTTCAGCCTCTGAGATCCTCTCTGAGCCAGAGAGATGGAGGATTGCCCAGTCTTACCCAAGCCTGAGAATTCCAGTTCTGAGTAGGCGTGCTTAGGTCGGGGTTCTAGACAAGTCACAGGAACAAGCACCAGTGGGGAGTGCTGTGGGAGCCCAGTCCCAGAACCCTACTTACCCCTTGATGTGTGATAATATTGTGAAGTAGATCTTGATGCCCCTGATCTCTCCCTGTTCTTCACCACGAATGATGAAATAGGTGCCGACTTTATTGCCCCATATTTCTGCGAAGAGTGAGACAGAAGAACACTCAGGGGCACTCCCTCACTCAGAGGCCCTTATGCCTAGGACAGGACACAGGAGGTGAGGGCCACAAAGGAGGCTCAGGTACTCACCCTGGGCTCTGCAGGTAGGACCAGCAAGGAAAGCCAAGGTCAGCAACAGCAGCATGGCTCCTGAGGGTTTGAGGCTTAGAAACCACAGGGCGATGGCAAGACCTCAAAAAGGCGCAAAGGAAAAGACATCAGATTTAAGGGATCCCCACGCCCCAGTTTGAGACAAGGGAACATTTGGGAACCCTCTTTTCCCATAGGCTCAAAAAGCTTCAGAAGGGCAAGGAATGGTTTCACCCACATGCCCACACTGTGACGCCCCCACCCCCATGTCACTGTGCTAGCATTCTCACTAGCTCTTAGCCAGAGATCCCATGATGTCATATTACACTGGGCTCCCCAAAGTCTAATGCTGTTCCTGAAGAAACCCCTTGTTTCCAATCCTTCCATCCATCCTTCACGGTCCAGTCTCTAGCTGGCTGAAGCCATTCTCCCTTTCCTCCTCTGGCCTCTCCCCCTGCACCAGGCTGGGTCGCTGCTCCTTCCTTACCTGTGCTGTGTGGTCTGAGCCCCTTGGGTTGTCCTTTTATACTTTGTATACTCTGATGCCACTGAGCCATAGCAGCAGTGGAAATGCCTTGTCAGCTGTATTTCAGAAACTGAATGTTTGTCCAACCTTGCAACCAAGATATTCATATGCTTTGCAACCATTTAAAACTATGTACTCACTACGCTTTCCTACTGTGTACTCAACTAGTTTAAATTTGTTTTGACTTTAAGAAAACAATGTAAGCAATCTTACTGTGCCTAGGACTCCCATGTAATCTAGTTTTACAACCTAACCTGAACAAATAGTTTTAAAAGGCTAGGTCAGATACAGCAAGAAGGAAGACATCCAGGTCAGGAACCGCCAATCAGCAGAAGAGAGTGTTTTTTCAGAGGAAGATGAAGGAGAGGAGGGCCAGAATGATAGAGATTTTCTTCTTCTTCCTACTCTTCCCGATGAGACAGCCTTAGAAAAAAGGGAAGTTGGAGAACTGACTGTTACAGAATAGCTGTTTTTACAGCAAGCCAAGTTTCTCACACAAGAGCCACTGATGTAATCTCTGTGTTTCTTCAATCAGCCCTTATTGTGCACTGTTTGCAGTACTCAGTAATGCAAGACTTCCTGGTTTTCCAGGAAAGTTTTGTGACTGAAGTCATGCAAAGGTCCTTCAGAAAAACAACTCTAAAATTTACAGAAAACAATCACTGTTGTCTACAATGATTTCTTCAAGGTCTAAGCACCTCCAAAAAAAACCAACTGCTTCATTCTGTTGTTCACACCACTTACAATGGCTCTACTAAATTTCCCATTACACCCTTTCAAACCTGACCCAGAATGATGTATATGCGCTGGCCTGTGCTGATAACTTCATTTGCTGAGAGCAGCAGATTGAAGGCAACCTAGAAAATAACAAATACCCACCATAAATGTTGGAAGCAGCATGTGGATCAAGATTGTAAACATATTTTCTTCTTCTTCTTCTTCTTCTTCTTCTTCTTCTTCTTCTTCTTCTTCTTCTTCTTCTTCTTCCTCCTCCTCTTCCTCCTCCTCCTCTACTCCTCCTCCTCCTCCTCCTCCTCCTCCTCCTCCTTCTCTTCCTCTTCCTCCTCCTTCTTTTTCTGCTTTTAATGCTATACTGGGTCAGTAGGAGCCAGTAAAGAAATTTCTTCCATGTAAAACTAAAAGTCTGGTAAAAAGATTCTCTTTTGTTTGTTTGTTTCTCGATACACAGTTTCTCTGTGTAACCCTGCCTGTCCTGGAACTTGCTCTATACACCAGCATGGCTTCAAACTCAGAGATTTGCCTGTCTCTGCCTCTGAATGCTGGGATCAAAGGTGTGCACCACCACCACCTGACATGGTAAGAGTCTCAAGACAAAAATTCCACATGCCTTTCCCCTCCCTTGTTTCAATGCGTTGTTCAATAAGCAGCAAGGGTGACTTTCTGCTCAATAGGGAGGGACAGATGAGGTCTGGTTTTCTCTAATGACTGTGCTAGAAATAAGTTCACAGTTTCAAAAGCTCCTCAGATTGGCCAGGCTTCCCTTCTGACCAGAGGCGTGAAGAGTAAGCACCTCAAGTAGGAAATTCAATAGGTTTTTATCCAAGTGCAACTGAATTGTGTCTTTTACACACTGGCTGAGACAAAAGACCTTGCAGCTTGTTGGTTTGTTTGTTTGTTGGTTGGTTGGTTGGTTTGTTAGTTGGTTTGAAAGAAATTGGTGCAAAAGAAACAAAGGAAAGCCAGAAGGGGGGAGCTCCTCAAGTTCTGGAATCCTAGCAAACCTTTGAATAAACAAGTTTTTTTTCTTCTTTTTTTCTTTTTCCTCTTTCTTTCTTTCTTTCTTTCTTTCTTTCTTTCTTTTTGAGACAGGGTTCTCTGTGAAACAGCCTTGACTGTCCCGGAACTCGCTTCCATAGACCAGGCTGGTCTTGAACTCACAGAAATCCCTTGCCTCTTTTGAGCTTTACTTAATGAGTGTTTTGCCTGAATGTGTAAGTGTAGATCACATGTGTGACTGATTCCTACAGAGATCAGAAGAGGGCATTGGATATCAGGGAACTGGAGTTACACATGGTTGTGAGCCATCATGTATGTTCTGGGAACTGAAACCTGGTCCTTGTTGAGAGTAACATGTGCCGTTAACCACTGTGCATCTCTCCAGCCCTTATGCAGAACCTAGTAAGACTCTTGTCTCCATGGGGCAAGTTCCAGGACAGGCTCCAAAGCTACACAGAGAAACCCTGTCTCAAAGAACAACAACAACAACAAAAAGCCTTGGAAAGGGGTAATGTTAGCTGGGGAGTGTTGGTGCACACCTTTAATCCCAGCACTGGGGAGGTAGAGGCAGACAGATCTCTGAGTTCAAGGCCAGGCTGGTCTACAGAATGAGTTCCAGAATGAGGACCAGCAGGGCTACACAAAGAAACCCTGTCTCAGAAAAAAAAATTGTCTATGTGTGTGTGTGTCTGTGTGTGTGTGTGTGTGTGTGTGTCTGTATGTGTATATGTGTCTGTGTCTGTGTGTCTGTGTGTCTGTGTCTGTATGTGTATATGTGTCTGTCTCTGTGTGTGTGTATATGTGTGTGTGTGTCTACATGTGTATATGTGTATATATGTGTGTGTGTGTGTGTCTGTGTCTTTGTGTGTATGTGTGTGTGTGTCTGTGAGTTTGTGTCTGTATGTGTATATGTGTTTATATGTGTCTGTGTGTCTGTCTGTGTGCATGCTCACATACATATTCTCTTTTAAAGCAGAATTCAGAATCTTCAGAGTCTTTGACAGCCAGGGTCACGTGTCTACAGCACAGACAGAAATCAACCCTCAGACCACATCAGTGGAAGACAGAGCTGTAATACTCTCTTGTTGGAGTGCAGGTGCATCTCAGAATACATTAACACAACTCTTACTCAGTCATGACAAAATGTGGAGGAGCACAGATCCTGTCCCACCAGAAGAGGGAGTGGCCCAAGCAGACGACCTGCACCATTACAAGATGGGACTGGGCTGGGCATTGGTGGCTCATGCATTTAATCCCAGCACTTGGGAGGCAGAGGCAGGCTGATCTCTGTGCGTTCCAGACCAGCCTGGTCTATAAGAGCTAGTTCCAGGACAGCCTCCAAGCCACAGGGAAATGCTGTCTCTGAAAAAGAAAGAAAGAAAGAAAGAGAGAGAGAGAGAGAGAGAGAGAGAGAGAGAGAGAGAGAAAGAAAGAAAGAAAGAAAGAAAGAAAGAAAGAAAGAAAGAAAGAAGAGATGGGGCTGGCAGGAAGCTACAGAGGCCAGGCTTCAAGTGTTTACTAAGAAAAACAATTGGCTGTCCAAACACACAACAGCTGAGGTCATCACACACACAGACCATGCCCAAGAGGGAATAGGACTCTAGATTACAGGGAATATCTTTTACATTATTGGGTAATACTTTATCTACCCCGTGGTTTTTTACTTTAAGAGGGCTTTGCTATTAAACATTAAATGAAATCCTGCTTGACTAGACTCCCTGTTGCATCTGATTGTTTCCAGGTTCCAGGGAGGCTGCTGGATAAGCAAACAGGGCACACTCTACCCTCTCCAACCTCAACCCAGGGAGCCCCTAGAGACCCCAACAACAAAGAGACACAGAGCAGGTTTTAACTAATGACTTCCAAAATACATGACTTTATCTGAATGGTGTTGCTTACATATAAGAGTGATGTAAAAACCTTTTATTTTCCCATTTTCCATGTTGACCATCTATATACAATGAGTATTGTGTGAAAGAGACCACTTCCCAAGTGCCTTTATTATTGTAGTATACTTCTCTGCCTTTAAATTAAAACTGTTACATAGCATTCAT